CAGAAGACAAGCTTGTTCAGCAGTTTTTACAACATTAGATACCATCAATATTCTTTTTTATTATTGTTGCTCTTGTTTTTGTTTTTCTGTTTTTATATTCGCATTTACATTTATTCAGACACTTTTATTCAAAGCTAATTAAAGTGAGGCACAGTGCAAGTTAGTTTGACTGCTTTTATTGCTATAAATGCCATTATTATTATGATTATTATTATTGTTATTATTATTATTGCCATTGTTGTTGCTATTTTACATTTACATACAGTTGTATGCCAATTATGAACACCCCTGGTAAAATTACACATTTTGTTGATTTTGTACGTGAAAAGTTAACACATCCTCTACACACATTAAACCTAAATATGGCAATTTTCTGAAAATTTTAGCACATGATTTCTAATTATATCCTGAGAATTAACATACTGGGAAAAAAATAAAACAAAATCTAAAATACAGAATGCATAAACATTTGCACAGGCCACAATTCATGTTTTTTTTCTCAATATGTTACATTCAGCAAATAAACAGTAATTGCACATTAAAATTAAAATGCAGAAGTGTGTTAACTTATTTTCATCAACAAAGCCAGCGGCACCAAAACTTTTGCACACAACTGTATATGTTTATTTATACGCTTTTGTCCAGAGCAGCTTACAGTGAAGCAAACACAATCCAAACGAACAGCTTCGACAAGCGCCACAGCTGTGTTTTCATCTCAGTTATATTCAGGTAAACATGAGTGCAGACAGCAGACTATGTGAGTGAGGAATCTTCAGTGCAAGGCACAAAGCTGCAAAGTTACTAAATGTAAATGTAAATGTCTGTTGTCTGAACAGTGCAGTTGAGATGTATTGAAGCCAGGAAAAACAGGGCAGAATTACAGGGGGTGAAAAACGTGCCTTGCTGGTCTCTGTTTCACACTGCATTACTTTAAAAAGTCTAAATTTACGGTGCTCCATTCATTCCATTCTTCTCACTTTTTCCTCCTCCGTGCATTACCATACACTCTTTTTCCAAGAACGTCACTGTCACCGCACTGTCCGGAACATTCCGGTTCGCTCTTTACAGAGAACCTGTATTTTTTTAGACCAGTGGACAGAGGTGGACAGAGCAGTGCAAAGTAATACTTGTTTTGAAAATATGGTTAATTTGTGAAACCATGACGAATGTAAAGGTGAAAAACACATTCCTGAAAAACAACAAGAGGAAAGGTACAAAAAAAAACCATAGCAGATACTGAATAACTTCTGAATAACTACTGAATTGCCTCTTACTACATCCAGTGTCTAGCAGCATAGGAACTGAAGTGTGTTAAACTCTGTTCTCCTCCTTTTTGGTGTCCTTTTGATCTAAAATAAAATGATAAACCTCAAACGTCAGACATGTGACCAATCACGAAGTGTAACAAAGTGTGACTCTCAACAGTGTAATGAAAAGAGGAATTACTAACTAATTAAACAGTAGATTATGTTTCCACAAAAATACTTAAAAATGTAAGTAAAATGTAAGGGTTTCATTCCAAAACACATTATAGACCACTTTCAAGAAATCATGATTTTTTGTGATATTTGTTGTTCACTGTAAATTTAAATTATAAACTTTTGCTTAAAATATCGTGCAAACATATTGACTTGAAAAAATTAAGTAAAGCCACTTCCACCAAAGGTTCAAGCTTAATTAACTTTATTTATTAGTTATAGATATTTTCTCATTTTCAGTGATCCACACTTCTACAGCAAGTAAAGTAACTTAAACTGCCCAGTGATTATAAAAAGTGTCCACTGAGCTGGGAGCACTCGACTTTTCAGGTTCTGCTTAATCTTGAATTAGTTTGGTTAACTTGAATCAAATACTCTTCCTTGTGTGATGTATTGGCATCAATTAATACAACATTGTATTCAATGGACTGTTTTGTACACTAACATATACATTGCTTAGATAAGACCAGAATCACCCATTTCTGAGGACTCTAATAGTTTAATGCACGTTTGCTATTCTGTTAGCATTTATGGCTCCAGGCTGAACTGATAAACTGGAACACAAAACACCACCATAGTGAGAATAACAAATGTAGATGTAGAAGTAGCAAAAGAGAATAAATTAGATTAATGAGAGTTAATTAACAAAAAAACACAACCGTTAAGAATGCTGGGCAACTTTTTGACTAAGGATTATACCGGAAATAGTATGTTACTAAATTTGTATTAGCAAGTTTATCGAATTAGTAAAGTAAACCAAAAAATTAAGTTAGTGCAGTTATTATGTTTTACAGTGTCGGCAGTGGCCTTTACACAATATCGGTGCTGTATTATGATTAAACCACCTTTATTAGAGAAATAAACCATCGACTTTCATTGACTGTTCCAGTGCAACTCTATTTACAGACAATTTACAAATACTCAGCAAAGCACAAACCCAGACTATTATCTGAGTAGATGAAACTGAATAAATGTAACTCAATACTCCCCACCTCTGACAGTAGCTCATTCCACAGAGGGCAACCAAACAACATCATGTGGTGTACATGGACCAGTTTTGCAGTTTGCGTTTAACCTAATCACACACAAATAGTAATGACTGAACACCCTCTAGTGGTCAGAAATATGTAATGGAAGTCTTGTGGTCACTCCATTTCTAGGGAGGTGAGGGCTGGTTATTTACAAATGAATTAGTATTTCAGTCACAACTTTTAGAGACCAATATCGTGGCCGTCCACTTCTTTAAAACGACGTCCCAGTTGTCATACATCATAAAGGAGCAAGCAAAGATCTTTCAAATTAAGTAAGATCAACAGTTACTGACCTAAACAAGTCCATAAATGGGGAAGCATAATCACTGCTGGGAAATGATCATTTATATGTTTAGACAGCTTTGGTCCCAGTGATCGGGGGTCTCGCGATCCATCACTGCAGCTATAAGAAAGAAAAGTTCTGTAAAGTTTTAAATCAGAATAGACATTTTTACCTTGTTAGTTTACGCTGCTGGTCATTTTAAGCAAAATTCAATACATCATGAAAAAAATGTCCCGTAGTCTTCCATCAACATGTAGTGACTTTTGCCCACCTCTAGCTAGCTCAGAGACAAGCGTTAGAAAATGTGTTGTGTTTCACATCAACTTTAAAGTAGACTTGAAATCATGAAATCATGAAACCGTGAAATGTGAATCGTAAATCAAAATGCATTTTTCAGTCTGGAACGTTTTTTCAAGTGAAACACAAGAAGGGTTTCTGAGCTAGCTGACCATTTCACTCAATGCTAGGTGGCGGTGGTGGGAGTGGGAGGTGAAAAATTATGTTATTTATTAATAGTATTTCTGTGTGCCTGCTGGTGCACAGTAACATAATCAAAACTCATTTTCAAGGTGGGCAAAACTCAATATATTTCAATCAAAGATGACAGGAAGACAGTGTCGATCTTTAAATTGGGTGACATGAAGAATCGTTCTAATATGATCAGGATACTATTCTTAATTAACTTTTGAATTTTTAGATTATCTTTCAATTAAATTTTGATTTCAGATTTAGATTGAGAAAATGTGTTATGTTGGTCAGCTGCATTTAATCTATGCTTGTTTCAATTTTTGATAACCACAATGTCTCAGTAATGTTACTGTTTGTTTTCTACAATCTTTTTACTTATTTACCAAGTTTGCCTATAATTGTGGACCTTTACATAACATCGGGCCTTATTCTCCAATATCTTCCTAAGTTTGTTCCTAAATGTGTTCTTGAGAAAGGTCCTAAGAAAAAGTCTGTCAGTTTCATGACGTGTTCTTAAACTGCAGAATTGTTGCACTCTTGAGTGTGTAGAATCTGTTCATACCTAAGAACAAACCCCAAATAAAAAAAAACCTGGGTGAATGTCAGAATGTTTGTGAAAACTCCGTAAGTGGGTTTTAAGAAGAAATTTCTTTTTAAGAATGGCTGGTGAATGAGGCCCATTAACATGAGCTTATGTCATCATTTATAATTAGGCTGAGAATCAAAGTAGCAAAATGTAGAACAATAAACAGCAGCAGGAAATGGAATTTATGGATTGAACCAACAAATGGACCTTTTTTCAAATGTATATAAATAAAACGCGCACACAGTGTTTGTTCACTGCTCTTTCAGAGTTCAAATCTTTAACCAACTTGATTTTAAAATGAAAAACATACAGACATAATTTGTCCAGGAGTTCTTACATATCTCTTGATCACCATGTTGAGCTTGTGAACAGGTCACTCTGAGGTCATGATGAGGGCCCCATATGTTCCTCTTTTTGTGGACACCACTTTTCACACGTACACATGTAACTTCACTCAGTAAGTTCATCCACAGCAGCTCCCTCAACGTCAGGATGCGTGCAGCGGCTCACCTATCTGATCATCAGACTAATGAAACTATGTGATAAGAACCTGGGAAAGCACCAGAACCAAGGTATTTTCATGTAACTTCACTCACGTTTGTCCCACTGCCTCATCTCCTTGTAGCCTATGCCTCAGGAGCAGCTGCTGATAAGTCTCACTCTTCTACTAATGGATCTTCTTTCTGATCCTGTCAAGTGCCTGTCAGCATATCACCTGCCTTTTGATTTGCTCTGTTTGTCCCTTAAATGTCAGCAAGTCTGTAAATGCTGCCTTATATAGGCCTGATTTGCATTCATGTATACTAATTAGATTTAATCTAATTAATAATAATTTGTGCCTTCTTTAGCAAACTGTATTAAAATTTTAGCCCAGACCAGTGGTTTCCAACCCTGGTTAGTTTCAACCTGTTTCAAATTAGCCCCTTACTTAACCCTAATATATCTGATTCATCCAATCAGGGACTTGGTGTGGCAAATTGTGGTTGGAACTAGGCTCTGCAGGAAGGTAGCTCTCCAAGACCAAGACTGGGCACCTCTGGCCTAGACCATAATGAAGGACATTTAGCTCATCTGATTGGTGAGCAACGAAATACAACACCCATGATGCCGAGCTAAAATTACATCCTGTGGCCTACATCTCCCATAATGCCTAACTCACGTTGCATCCTGCTGACGTTGCTCGTGGATTCTGCATGGTTAATGTTTTGAAAGCAGTTTGTTTGCTCTCAGATGACAAGGACAGAGCCAGAGATTACTGGAGTAACATGGAAAACCGTGGAATATCAGTAATTCTGTTCGACCTGGACAACACGCTTGTTGATACAGCAGGAGCCGGTAAAGTGGCGATTCACAAGGTAATGAATGAAACGCGCCTGTTCGCATTAACTAATGTTTTCGCACACCCGAGTGCTAATTTCAGGACTATAAATAGTAACTTACACCCAAATATGACTAATTTCAACTCACGCTGAAACCCGGAAACTGCATTTGTTTAAAAAAAAGATTTTACTGTGACTTTATGATACGGCTGTAAAGAGGCATATGCCGGAAGAAGCCTAATATAAAGGAGGGATTATGGGAGATGTAGTTCATGCCAGATGAATGAACCACAGCCTAACTTTATAAGCGATGATTAAGTTATGTGAACACGCGGATAAGTCACTTTACTATCATGTATTCCTGTCTTGAATTTTTCTTCCAGAATGACAGCCCCCCTTGTCCAAAGAGCACAAGTGGTCATTGTTTTGAGATTATATAAATAAAACACTATGTGGAACTAGCCAATGACTCAATAACTAGCAGAGACTGATCTTTATGTTTAATGATAGAATTTATCTTTTGTCAAAAGTACTGATGGCCTACAAACACTATCTGTATCAATTAACTGTACAAAAATGTTGTAAATTTGTACAATCTGGTCCAATCCTTACAGGTCAGTGAACTGCTCAAGAACAAACTGGACCATTCAAACATCAGTGATATCTGTGAACGGTTTGTCTGTAAACTTTTTGAGGAAACATTTGACCCCTCAGAAGACCAGACGATAGACAAAGTTCGGATAAATCACTGGCACGAGGCCCTTCAGGAAGTAGAAGTTGTGGATCCTGGCCAAGGTCTGGCCTCAGACTGCTACTACACATGGAAGACCACACGTCTCCAGGCTCTAGCTTTATCTCCTGAAGTGCTGGCCTTGCTGGAAGACCTCAGGTGCTCCTACAAGCTGCTGCTGCTGACCAATGGTGACTCTCAGACCCAGAGGGAGAAGATAGAGGCGCTGAGGTGTGAGGGACTGTTCAGTGCTGTTGTGGTGGGAGGAGAGCATGCTGAGCAGAAACCAGCATCCTCCATTTTCACACACTGCTTTGAGCTGCTTGGGGTGAACCCACAGGACTGTATCATGGTGGGAGACTCTCTAGATACAGATATCCAGGGTGGATTTAATGCAGGGGTTCGAGCTACAGTATGGATAAACAAGAGAGGAGGATCCCCTCCAGAAAACACTGTGACTCCAGATTACACCATCCCATCAGTGCTGGACCTGCCTGAAGTTTTGGATAATCTGAGATAATGTTTATTATGTAAGACTATGGGGGTGACCCATGTCTTAGTAAAAAATCCCAGTTTAGGGCTTTCCTACATTTGGAATTTGAAGGGCTGTCCCAATTCTCAGTTACCTCCTCATGGCATTAATAAGTTTGGAGTTTTCATGATGCTGCATATTTTAAATTCTCCTATTGACCTCTATTGCAGTAAGAAACAGAGACCCATTTGACACACTGTTTTTAAAACATCTAAAAAATAAAGATTTAAGTTTAAACTTAGTTTAATCAAATAATTTTGTATTTTTTGATCATCACAAATGTACTTAAATCCATTTTTTAAAAGTCTTATTACTTAAGTAATCATTGAAATAACTAATAGGTTATCCAGTTACTAAAAGCACTGATAATAGTGGCAGCTAGTGATGGCAAACTGAAGCTTTCCTTTAAACGGTGCTGGAAAAGTTCGTTGCTCAAAGCTTTTAAAACCAGTGAATGATGACACCTGGTGGTTAACAGCATGAACAGCAGCTACTCTGTGATGGGGGGGGTAGGGGGGAGTGTTTTAGTATAAAAGTCCAAGTCTCTGTTCCGTAGTCAATTAAACACTAATAATTCATCTTACATAAAATAAGTCTGAATTTCTGTTTATTTCCCTGTTGTGAGACTAATAAAGGATTATCTTATATCTTACAAAACTAATATCCATGTTGTAAGCTTACTGTGACATTTGTACAGAGAAAAATGTTTGGTTTATTCTCACACGTCACAAACAAGCCTGAGGGAATTCCATGATGTTCTCATACATACAAATTTCTGTACTAAATGTTTGCCAGATAAGTATTAGACTAGTTTGCTGTCCTTGACAGGCAGAATATTCTGAAGCCCTATCATTTGACCCTGGGACAGAGTGGGCCATCTCTCTCTCTCGTTTGAGCTATTTCAGGCACTTTGAGTTTAAGTTGTGAATGCATCAACAACAAACGCAAATAATACAAAAACAGTATTATTACAATTATGAGAGACTGACTGGAAACACTGGATTTCATGGGTATGACATTTAAGAGGAATTGAACAATACATCACATTTTATATTAGTACTGTATGTGTTCATACAGACAGTTATTACATTCACTTCACGTCTAATTTGATTTTGATGTTCATTGCTGCAAGTTCAGCCACAAAGTAGCGAAACACGTAGGGAACGGACACTGTCTCAATGCAGTCACTCTTTTTACACAATAAGCAGACGGTCTTGCGATGGCGTGTGGCTGACCAATGAGGTGGCGGTTTCTCCAGCAGGGGGGACAGCAAGCTGCCGCAGTCCATGCACACCTGGGCCACAGAGCGGTCAGAGCAGTTGAAAAGGCGGTCATGCAGCAGGAAAGACGTGCCATGGGCCAGCAGGGCGTCTCGTTCCATCTCTCCGAAACGGATGCCACCCTGCACGTTCCTGCCCCCAACTGGCTGATTGGTCACCTTGTCCCTGGCTCCAGTGGTCCGCACCTGGAACTTGTCGGAAACCATGTGACGCAGCCGCTGGTAGTAAACCACCCCAATGAAAATGTCGGCCTCCAGCTCCAGGCCACTGAGGCCCGAGTACAGCCGCTCCGTGCCATAGTAATTGTAGCCTGCTGCCTTCAGCATGTCACCAAAGTGCTCCAGGGCGGAGCTTTCCTCAGAGAAGGTGAAGGGTGTGGCATCGTGGCACAGGCCATGGAGGGCTGCCGATTTCCCTGCCATGCTTTCGATCAGCATACCAATGGTCATACGCGAGGGGAAGCCGTGTGGATTGAACAAGATGTCTGGGGTCATGCCACTCTCAGTGAACGGCATGTCCTCGGCTGGCCACAGGCGGCTCAAGATGCCCTTTTGACCATGCCTGCTAGCAAACTTGTCTCCTATAGTCGGGTTGCGCGGGACACGCATCGTAATGCAGATGCGCTTGAACCGACCTGTGCCTACGTCATTGCTGCAAACTTTGATGTTGTCCACCACACAACTCTCCTGACTCCTGAGAGAAACAGTGACATAAGCAGTTATCACAATGTACACTTCAGAATATTAACATTAAGCAGAGTTCAACCTTGGATAAACTTCATGCTGCCACCTACTGGTGTTTTAAAGCACTTTGTGTGCACTTGCTGTGTGATTAACAATGTAAAGACTTTATAATTCATAATGGATCACTGATAGCTTACTTGAATGAGGTGACAAAGCTCTGGCCTGTGTTGAGGTTGATGTAGCTGTAAAAAGGGTCTCCATAATTCAGGACTGTTCCTATAGGGGGAAGTCCATCGACATCCAGTCGGTCACCCACCCTAGGGTCACCCGGTTTAGTCCCGAACACCACACCATCCTGTCCTTTGACCTTTTCTGACAGGTCTATGATTTCAGTCTTATAGACAGAGCCATGGGCAAAGCCACGCTCCCATGATGACTTGTTCACAATCTGAAAAATAAAGGGTAATATTAAAAAAATAATAATAAATAATAATAAAAACACACACACACACACACACAAACAAACAAAGATAAACTAATCACATCAATCATGTTAGCTAATTGACCATAATGATATTATTATTATTATTATTATTGCTACTACTGATGCTGACCATGGCATCCTCCATGTCATAGCCTGTATAGGAGATGACGGCCACTACAGCGTTTGTGCCAATGGGATAGTTGTCCATGTTATAGTGGTCATACATCGTTGGTCGGACCAGAGGACTCTGAGGAGTCTGCAGCCGATAGAGTTTATTATCAGAGCGGTCCTGGTAAGAGTGCAGAGGAAAACCCATAGTCTGTTTACCTGTAGAGGTGAAGAGATGACAAGTGTTAAAGAAGCCAAAGTTTATAATTATCAGCCATGCATTTTTTTATTATCTACTTTCTTATAAAGTAAACTAAATCTTACAAAACGACATAATTGGTCACTGGTTAATATAATGCTTGCTGCTTTGGGGGAGTGTAATAAAAATATATATATATAAATATATAAAAAATAAATAAAATAAGCACACAATGTCAGAATAGAATAGCATCTAGAGAAACTAAAAGTAGTGGAGCAGGAATGAGATAGCAGCCTTACCCATCTGGCACTGGTACATGTTCCTAGGGCTCTGGTTATGATCAGAGAAGGGGATGAAGCTAGCCACCACGCTGAGCATGCTGTGGGGGAAGAGCTCCTGGTGTGTGGTCACATCCTGCTCAATATCACCCTCAAATATCCCTACATTAAGGTACAACTGAGCAGAGAAACAGTACATTCGTATTACGAACGTATTTCCAATAATTGATGTATCATAGTGCATAGTGTGTCAGTAAACTTCATTATATCTTCGCTGTCAGGACAAAACCTTGTATCTCCATTTTTAACATGATCTGTATTTTTTGACATCGTTTGAAAATACCAGCTCTGCTTTTTATGGTAAAATTTCACCATGAATGGAGCAATAGAAGTGGTCTAAAATTACTTTAGAAAAAAAAAACAAATTCCATTTTATCACATCCCATTCAAAATTAAGTAGAGATATATGAGTGACCACCTAACAGTGACTGTGTGGATTTACATGGCTTGAATGCAGATTTCCATGATCACAGAGTGATAGCAATATTATTACAAAAAAAACATTTGAATGCTCTCTCACTTGCTCGAAAGTGCCAATGAGCTCCTGTTTGCCCAGGGCAAGGTTGCGGACAGGCCGCATCATGCGACACGATGTAGTGAAGAGGTACAGGCCCGGGTACATGCTGGCTTTACCAGTCTGAGGAACCAGAACGATCTCAGTCCACGGAGGAATCTTCTTCTCACCCAGGACCTATGATGAAGAGATGTTGGCACAGAAAGCACAGAAAACAGTACAGGTCAATGATCACATGGGCATAAAAGGCAATGGGCATAAAAGGCAATGGGCCTAATCTCTCGCAACAGGTGCTGCACTTACTTTCAATGTGTAAGTATTAACATAAAACTTGCTAAAGATCCTCCTAAACTTCTTGCAAGGTTCACTGACCTTAAACCTGCGGAGAGACTCCACCAGAGAGGGTGCGAGGTCTTTCTCCACCCAGCCGATCACAGCCCCATCCAGTACCACAGGGTAGCAGCAGGAGTACGGCTGACCAGGAGTAGCGTCCACTGGAGTTACACCTGGTAACATTAAAAGCTCTTTTACTCTAAAGTCTCAAAGCCACTCTTGGATCAGTGATCAATATGTAAGAATATAAAGTTTTACAAGAATTCAACAAAATCACTTTTATAAAGCTTAAAGAAAAAAAATTACTTGATCTAATAAATCTTCTGTCTGTTTGAGGCTACAATCGTGATACATTCCTCTTAAATGAAAAGTAAATCCTTGTGTTCTACTGGGAGTGTGTAATTATTTTATAACAGATTAAAACTCCCATCAGATGAACAGTAAGCAGTTATGGAATAAACAATGAGTAAGATTATTAATATGATAACATGGTAATTTTGCAATTTAGTTTTCTCTAAAGTAGTTCATTTCCCCAATCGTAGCATCCCTTACTATTAGAGAGCAAAGGCTGCATACGGCTCCTTAAATGCACCTATAGAGTCACACATATCTTTTCTAACTTAGTACTGCTTAAAGGAGAGCTGTATCAGGAGGAAAAGCTAATCATCCATTTCTGTCCCTCAACTTGACTATGCAAATGCAGACATTCCATCCAAAGTGTTATGAAAAATGTTTTGTTGCTTCCAAAGGCTGTCGGTTGTAGGTTGTGGAAATGAAAATTGCTGGTAATATATTATGAAATGTTGACAATTTTTTTTCTGTTGAACTTTAGTTAAAAAAAAATAATAATAATAATTGTCAATACCTAAAATGTGGAATTTTTTTTTTTCGTATTATGCATGCAGTTTGTACAGAAATTCCATGGAACTGTAGCTATGGTCACATAGAAACAGGGGTAAGCGAGGCCCTGCCATCTTACTCGCTCAGTGAGAACAAGCTATGGTGGAAAAACAGCCCACCAGCAGCAGGGGAAAAAACAGAAATGATGTTAGTGTGTCCCAACTTTGGATTTTTTTTTTTTAACACAAGGTATAGCGTATTTGTTATTCCCCAATCACATCGCTGCTTACCCAGAGAGCACAGCCGGGCGGGCAGTGTGGTGGTGGGATAAACTGAGGTCACAATCTCACAGTGAGCAGTCATGTGGTTCATCAAGCCACATGGCTCTCCATCAGGAGTGTGCACAGGGCAGAGAAAGCCCCAGGACTCGGGCAGCAACTTTCGCACTGTTGTAGTCCTCATCTTGGCAAAGACTGCTCCTCTGTGTACACAGCGGAAGTGTGACAAATAGCGAATGAAATTCAGCTTGTCAGCCACCACGCACATACCGCTGTTCTGAAGCATTCCCAAACCTGAAGGGCAGAAAGATGTGTCAGTTAACCCCTTAAATGCCCAGGTGCTCTGGATTCCCACAGGTTTTCTTAAGAAAAAAAAACTTACAAAAGATGCAAGTATTCTCTTAAAACATGAGTCCTTTTTTAATAAAATCAGAATGTTTTCATATGTAGGCTATCAAAGTCATGTTACCTTTTATAGATATACCAGAAACAATTACCATATTTCTGTTAACTAGTTATTCAGTTTTATCACATCAGTACCTGAGGACAACAAAATGGAGGTAAAACAAAATCAAACTAAATTTAGCAAACACAAAGTGC